AAACAAAAAAAAAAAAAAAAAAAAAAGAAAAAAATATATGTATATATATATATAAATTTAAATATGTACTTACTTCTATTAAAACATATATTTTTTATAATATTTTTAAAATAACAAAATAATTTTTTTTATTAAGTATAAATGACTTGAATGATAAAAATTTTTTTTTTTTTATTAAAATATTTTTAATTATTTTCACAATTAGAATGTTTTAATTTTAAATAAAAAAAAAAAAAAAAAAAAAGTAAAAATGACGATGGTGTTAAATCATATTAAAAAAAGTAATATATATATACCTGGAGTTATTAATCAAAAGGTAATGTTAATTTTAAGAAAAGCTAATAAGTTTTTAATTTAAAAGAATAAAAATAAAATAAAAAAGTAGTGATATATAATAAATGAGTAATTATTTTATAAAACAAGAAGTTATTTGTTTCATATTTAAATAAAATAATAATATATAAATTTCCATTTCTTAATATATTTTTTTTAGATATTAGGAAATTTAAATAGAGGTAATGTAAATTATTCAAAAGAGTTAATTAAGAATAAAAATGTAAATGAAGAGAAGAATTTGCAAAATATAAACGAAAACTTAGATATAGAAAATATTGATTATAAATATTCCCCATATTTGAAGCCATTAGAAATAAAAGGTATAAAAAGAGCTGACAGAAAGTTAGATTATAATAGTAGTTATAGTTTCATGGTTGCACAAAAAGATTTTAGAGAAAATTTAAAAAAGCAAAATATATTTACAAAATATTTATACAATGGAATGAAAATACCTTTACCACCCAAGAAATATAAACTTTCACAATATGTAAAATAAAAATCTTTTTTAAATTATGAGAACATCATTTCCTTTTGATTTTAATATTTTTTTTTATTTAATTTTATTTTAATTTTACTTTAATTTTTTTTTTTTTTTTTTTTTTTTTAGATTGACGTTAGATTAGATATGTTTTCTCCTTTAATCATTTCCTTTATTTTATCTGTGCCATTTTTTATTGCCAGTAATATGTAAGGAAATAAAAGTTATGTAGAAATACTAAAATGATAATTACCTTTTTTTGTATTATTAACTATTATAATTTAAAAAAAACTATAAGTTTATTTTTTTTTTTTTTAATTGAATATTTTTTTCTACGTTTAAATTGATTGGACACAGATATATTATTTTTTATGTTAAATTTTTTATAAAACGTAAAAAAAAAAAAAAAAATTATAAATTCAGCATTATGCTCGTCAAACAGTTAATAATGAATTTAATATTTAAAAATAATAAAGAAAAAAAAATTGGTTCAACAAAAAAATTAAATTTTTATAAAAAAAAAAAAAAAATGCTAAATACTATAAATTAAAGTTCTATCATTTTTATGTACATATCCATTAATTTAAAATTTATAACAAATCGTATTTAAATACAAATAATAGACAAAAATTTTTAGTTTAATGAAAACTTGATTTGATTTTATTTTTTAAAGAGAAATTAAACATATTATTAAAATAAAATACATATACGCTACACACATATATAAGTACATGAACAAAAAAAAAAAAAAAAAAAAAAAAAAATAATTTAAAAAAATGAATTTTCTTAAATTTACCAATTTTTATACTCATGTAAAATTATTTTATAAAATTCCAATTGTCATAACACATTGTGGTTTCATATTTCAATTTTTGTAGATTTTTTATATTTTTGCAATTCATATTTTTCTGAATCCTATGTTTAATATAATTTGATTTAGCTTTTTCACTACTAAATGTATTATTCATTTTTTTTTTTTGTTTTAAAAAATTTAAAAGATCTTTTTTTTCAAATTTTTTATTATCATTATAATATTTCTCTGTATTTAAATTGATTTTTTTTTTTAATGATAAATTATTTTTCATACAATTAAAAAAATTTTTTTCGTTCGACATAATTTCATTTAGTAACTTTATCGTGTTACCTTTCTTGCTCATTATACATTGCGTAATTATTTGTTGAAAAGATGAATTTAATGAATCATTCATATGTTTATTACAATATTCTTTTTCTTTTTGTGTGCATTCCTTATTATTATGTGTGAACTTATTTGAATCAATACTTGTTAAACGACTACTAGGTGAATACAAACAGTCATTGCTAACATTGTTATTAGTTTCTTCATCAGTAAAAAATTGTGATGTTTTATTTTTATCAATATAATTTTCACTTTTCTTTAAATTGCTATAATCTGTTGTAGAATCATCAGTTGGTATGGGAGATTCTTGGGAATACTTCATATAATTTTTTTTATTATATGAAAACATATCTAATAAGGAATTAAAATTTTCAAAACTTTTTATGTTGACATGTGATTTATTTTTTATATTAGATTTATAAAGAGACTTCCTAAATGTTTCTCTAGAATACTTACGAGCTAAACATTCATTTATTTTTGAGTCAACAGTATCTTTTTCCTTTTTTGGTTCTATATTAACAAAACTTTGCCATTCATTATTTGTATTATTATCTTCAATTTTTTCATTTTTCATTTTACTATTATTTTCATTAATATAATCATTGCAGTCACTAATATTATGATAAGTAATTTTCTCTTTTAATGTAGTGTTATTATAATTCAATTTCTTATTACTACCAATGTTAGTATCAAAATTGAAATTATTCTTTTGATTTATAAAAGGTGTATTGTTACTATTTTGTATATTATCTCTATTAGATTCATCATTTTTATTGTTATTTTTTTCTTCACTTTTTTTAAAAGGAATAAGTAATAAATAATTGTCACCTGCTATATTGTCTTTACATGTAATTGTGAATATATTTTTTTTACTTATGTTTAATAATATGGCATTATTATCATTAAAATTATAAAATAATTTATCTAAAAAATTTAACTCATAAACATTTTCATTAGAGTTATCAAAATTAGAAATGCTTATATCATCATTATCATTAATTATTTTTACATTCTTTTTAATGTTATTTATTACGTTGTCATTTAATTTGTTATTTATACATTTCATTTTATGTATATTACATTTCTTATTAAAGCATAAATTATTAATCATTTCAATAGAATTACTATTAATGTAAATAGGATCATTTTTTATTTTGTTAAAATTATTGATCATTTCATTTGAGTAATTATTTACACTGTAGTTGTGATTATGATGGCAATCACAGATACATATTTTAAAATAAGTATCCCCATTTGATATACTTTTGATTTTCCTTCTCATATTACTTGATTCTTCTTCTGAACAAAAACGTTCGAATGAATCAACACTATTATTAGTACTCTGTAAATTATTAAATGAATTTTCTTTTTTTTTAAGTAGCAAATTTTTTTTTATTTTATTGATGATTAATGATATGCGATCATCCTCAGAATTATGTTTAAAGTATTTATTTGCATATTTATTAATATTGAATTCTTCTAAATTTAGTTTATGTTTTTCATTAATATTTAAATTTCTTTGTTTTTCTATATTATTCACATATTCTTTTTCTTCCTTATTATGCATTTCATATTCTTCATATTTCCTTTTTCTTTTTTTTTTTTTGTACTGTTCATTATTGTTATTAATTTTAAAATCATAAAAAAAAAAATCATCTTTATTATTATTTTGGTTATATTTTGATTTACTACTTTTCTCTAAATTTTTATAATTTTCCATATTATTATTAATAGATTTGACATTTTTTCCCAACATATTCAAATTATTATTAACATTTGTATTATGTTCATCATTATAATTATTACTTTTTTTTTTGAATAAATTAATTTTCTTTCTCTTTTTTTTTGTATCTTTATTTTTATTATTTTTCAATAAATCATTATTATTTCCTTTTTTTAAATATTGATTAAGTGGATTTGAATTCTGTCCATATATTTTGTGAATTTTTAATGCTTCTTCAAAGACACCAAATTCATAAGATAATTTCCATAACATATTTATATTAAAAAAAGGTAAATTTGAAATACAAGCTGGAGGTTTTATTTTATGAGATAAAATATTTTTGCATAAAGATGTATTTTGTCTGTAAGCTTTACGAATTAATTCCAGCATACATCTTCTTCCTTTTGCTCCCAATTGCTTACAAAAACCAGGATAATAATTAATTTCTTCTTCTTTTTTATCAGATATAATATTTCTAACGTTCAAATTATGTAAACTTGATAATTTTTCTGTATTTTTGTTTTCAACATTCTCATTTTTAGTTTCTTCGTTTTCCTTGTTATTATACATATTTTTTTTTTCTATGATGTTATCATTTTTGTTTGTGTCTTTTTTTTCATATTCTTGATTCTATAAAAAAAAAAAAAAAAAAAAAAATCTTTATTATTATTTATATTTTATAAATTCTTTTTATAAAATTTTTATCTCCTTTTATATATTTAATTTTTTTTTTCTATTTTTAAATGTTATTATTACTTCTATTTTTATATTTTATTTTATTATTATTATTTTTATTTTATTTTATTTTTTTTTTCTTTTATTCTTTTTTATTTATTTACTCTTTGAAAACAATTTTTTTTTAAGGAAATTTTCATAATTATATCTAGAAGACTTTTTGAATACTTTAATGTTTCATAATTATATTTATCATCAGAAGAATTACTTGCTATCATACTTTTACTTTCGTCAATAATATGATTCAGAGTAGGAATAGGAATATTTAGGTTTAAGAATAAATTATTTTTTAATTTATCTGAATCATTTTCTGTTTTATAATTCTATCAAAAATAAAATGAAAAAACAAATGATAAAACATACAAAAATGTATTTAAAAAATGTTCATATAATAAAGAACTTACATTTAATTTATTTTTATTATCATCTATATACTTTTTGAGAATATTCAAACTGTATATATCATTTTCCATTATAAATGTATAATAATAATAACAAATGAAAAAAAAATAAAATAAAATAAAATAAAAAGAAATAATATGAAAATTATATTTTAAAATAAAAAGATTTTCTATATTTTTAAAGTATTTTTATATAGAAATAAAAAAAAAAAAAAAAAAAAAATATATATATATATATATATTAATAATAAGTAATATCACTAAAGAAGAATAATGATATAAAATATATTAAATATTTAATAAAAAAAAAAAAATATATATATATGACAAATGATTAAAAAATTAAAAACACTAGTATTTATAAATAAATTTATATAGTTTTTCATTTTAATTTTTTCTTTATTTTTTTTTTTTTCTTTTTAGTATATTAGAATTTTTCTATAATGTTATGCACTTATATAAATAATATATATATTAATAGAAAATTCCAATAAATATTTTTATTTTATTTTTTATATACATGAAAAAACAAAATTAAAAAAAAAAAAAAAAAAAAACTAAAAATAAAAAAAAAAGAATAAATAATAATTAAAAAAGGATAAATAAAAAATAATGAAATAATAAAAGAAAAAAAAAAAATAAACATTTATTATATCCCTTGTCTATAATGGTTATTGCAACTATTTATAATAAATTACATGAATTAATATATATATATATATATATATATATATATATA